GAGCGCTTCTGCCTTCACCTTCACTGTCGCAGCTTCGCCCTCAGCTACAGCCCCCTGAGCCAACACAGTGCCTGCTGCGGGAAATTTCATCCCCAGCTTAGCAACAACTCAAAAACCAAAGAGGCGCCGTCCCGTATGCAAAATTTGACTTCTTCCACTGTCACGTCTTCGTCCGATGCCCTCAAGGGGCTCGGCTGTCAGACCAACAAGACGCTCAGGTTTTACGTGCTGGACATGGAGCTCAACTGGCCGCTGGCGGTGAGGTTGGGGGCACCGGGAAAGGGCAACTCTTCCTCATGGCGCCACCGGCAAGCCGGCGCACAGGGTGACGGCTCCTTTGCGGCCATCGTGAACTTGAAGGATGAGGTGCATTATGTGCTCCAGCGCACCCCCGCCGCCACACTCACCGAATCACTAGGTAAACCTTCGACCAGTTAGTAGTAGTAATAATCATGGCTAGTATAATGAACGAACAGGTACAAAATTACATCCATCCATTTTCCAAACCACTTTATCCTCACAAGGGTCACGGGGATTACTGGAGCCTATCCCAGCTGTCTTCGGGCAGTAGGTGGGGGACACCCTGAACCGGTTGCCAGCCAATCGCAGGGCACACAGAGACGAACAACCATCCACGCCCACACTCACACCTAGGGACAATTTATAGTGTTCAATCAGCCTGCCATGCATGTTTTTGGAATGTGGGAGGAAACCGGAGTACCCGGAGAAAACCCACGCAGGCCCAGGGAGAACACGCAAACTCCACACAGGGAGGCCGGAGCTGGGATCGAACCCTCGACCTCCGCACTGTGAGGTCAACACGCTAACCACTCGGTCACCGGGCCGCCCAACAAAATTACAAAATATAAAATTCGACATTTTTGTGATTGAGAGAAAATCAAAATGTTTTGAAAAAAAATCTCCTTGCCAATGTGTAATATAAATGAGCTGTTGGGTTTCATTGCAAATGTATTTATTTCGGTATTCCCATCCGTCTGTGCAGAAAAAGGAAAGTCAAACAGTCGTGAGAGAACTTGACTTTTAGGGGTGGGCACCTCTCAAATGAAAGATGATTCGATACTTAACTCGATGCACGGGGGGTGCGATAAGATTCAAGGATGGTTTGATTGTGAAATAATCTACAGGGAGCAAAAAATCCACGGCACAGTTTATGTCCCGCCCCCTCCAACAAGATGACGCCCTGTGATTGTGTTTCTGTTTCTTCCAGAGGCCTTCATCATGAACTTCAGCGCCCCCTACAGCCTCCTGCGCCGACACTTGGTGGGCGAGGAGCCGAGAGAACACCAAGTCACGCATCAGAACCGATCCCAGCAGCAGCAGCAGCAGCATGAACCTCCGCCGCCGCTTATCACCGAACTGACCACGTCCTCCTTCCTGCCCTTCGTCATGGATGTTGAAAAGGTGCCCGGGCATGTCTATTGTCACACCCTCCCCTTCCTCCGATCGGGTTCATCAGCATCCTCCGATGTTGTTGTGTTGCAGGACGTGCTGCTTTTCTACTACACGCAATGGTGCGGCTTCTGCTCCGTTCTCAACCACGTCCTCATCCAGCTGGCTCGATTGCTGCAGCGACACAGCGGTGTCACTCTCGCCAGGTATGAAAGTCCGTCAATCTGACACTGACGGACGGATGCCTGTATTGCTGGCAAATGATGAATGATGTGAACTAGGATTTCATCACAATGGTCATTAACCCGGGCCAACACCGACGCCCCTTCACTGACAGACACCCGTTTCGCTGACGACTGCCGGAAACATGCGCTCGTCAATCGGGTGACCGGTAGTTGTGTTGGCTGCTAAATGCTATCTAGCTGGACAGAGCAACAGTGAGAAAGAAGTCAATCCTACTCATCGGATACGACAATTCTCCTCGTTTTTTGTCTTAGTCCTGGCCGGAAAAAGAAGCTGCCTGCATTGTATTTCTCTCGGTAGAAAAGACTGCAATGATGTTGTCCCCACATTACACCAAAAATAGGACAAAAACTAATTTTAATTTTTTGTTTTTTTTTTAATTTTTAATTAAAGCAATTTTTTTTGCTCGAACTACACTCGCTAACAGCATTTTTTAAGGCCGGTATTGGCATTGTGCATCCGTAAATGCATTTTTTTATGCTGATTTTTAAAAGATGTCTATAACTTTTCTTCGAGCACCTCACTTGTTTGAGAGAGATTTTCATTTTTTGTTTGTAAATTTGACAAGACAAATTTCAGCATGTGTTGTCATTCCTAGCTGATGTTTCCGCAAAGAATTCCACTTGTTGCTGAACCAGTCTTAATTCATAAATATTGTTTTCAAATTATATTATTATGAAGATATTATTATGAAAAACAAGGGCGGATTTGGAATCGTACCAAAAAATTATCTAGAAAAGTCTATTTGCATCTCTGATGTAAAAAAAAAAAAAATGTTGACCTGTGTTATTTGCTACGCAGGGTGAATGTTGCACGCAACGACCTCCCGTGGGAATTTATGGTGGATCGTGTTCCCTCCATTCTTTTCTTCCCACGATACAGGTAAGAGGAATCTGTTAGAATGAGTGCGACTCTCTCAGAATTTATAATAGGAAACAAAAATCACTTTTTGCAAATATCTTTTTTGTCTCTGCACTGAGAAAACAGGGAAGGGGGAGGGGTAGAGACACTTTGACAGAAAAGGATGACTTTGGCGATCCCTAACGGCCCTTGACAGGCCGTCAGGTTAAAAGAAGACAATGTCATTTTCATAGTTGTATGTTTGTGTTTGAAGAAAAGAGCTGAGCGTGAAATTTCCAGATGATCTTCCCATCACTCTTCCAAACCTCCTCCGCTTCATCCTCAAGCATTCCGGCTCACTCCCTGACACGGACAAACCCTCACCAACCGGCGCGACGGACGCTTCGGGCCCCGGCAGCGCCGTCCTGCGCGCCGAGTTGGAAGCCCTCCAGCGCGAGGTACGGACGCTGCACCACGCCCGCGAGCTGCTCTCCCAGCAGCTGGCGCAACTTTGGCGCGACAACCGGAAGCTGCGTTTGGACGCTCGCGGGATGGAAGCTCAGAACGCCGAGCTGCGGCGGGAGCAACGCGATCTGGAGGAGCGGCGGCGGGAAAAGAGCCGACAACTGGCCGAGGCCTTGCGGCGGTTGCGGGAGCTGGCTGACGCCTCGCAGAATCTGCTCAACCAAAATGCGCTGCTCAGGATGGTGCTCAGGGCCTTGAAGGAAACGGCGGAGCCCGAAGTTGTGGAGGAGATGCAGGGGGAGGCGGAGGCGGGGGCGGAGCATCCTGCTCCGCCGGCGGGAAGCCACTTGGCTTCCTGACCGTTGCTGTGGCAAACGGGAGCACCGGGATGTGAAGGGATGAATTGGAAGTCGGACTTTTTTTGCGGGTCTTCTCATGATCGACGTGCCTACCAAATTTCGTGTGGATGAGTGAAACTGGCTTGGCAGACTGCGGTTTCAAAATCACGGTTGTGATAAGCAAACCAGTGGATAAGACTCAGCACTTTGCAGACTGCCACCAAGGCCAACGTTGCACCCTTCTTTTAAACACGAACCGTCATATTTGAAGACGGTCATTATTCATAAGGCCATCTAACATCACTCAGGAGAGACAAATTTAATTTCTCACGTCACACAGGTACTGTATATTGTTTTTCCAATTTGACATAAATGGACCCACAGCCCTTTTAGCGTGTCTGTGATTAGGACATAATTAAGCGCAGTGATCACGGTGAGACGAATTTTCAATTTCAATTCCAATATGTAATTTTTGTTCAGCAGACGCCGCCATTTTGTGCGAGCTTACGTCACAGGTGTCCGTCTGATTGTGCCTCCTTCCATTAACGCTTCTAATTTCAACAATCACAGCCAACAAAAGATTTGATAGCAGGACAATTAATTTCATACTTTTTTTTTTTTTTTTTTGGTGACCTTTTTTTGGAGTGGGGTGAAATAAAACAATAATGACAAATACGACCCACCACCAAGGAGGTCCTAATTAATGATTCAGTATATTAAGTATTGGATTTCAGTGCCAACGACTGCTAAGTGTCTTGACAATTGTACATGACTTCAGTTTTAACACTTGAATGGCTTTTGTGTTGCAAAGGTGATCCAATTGATCTATTTTTACACTTGAATCACTAAACTAATTTATATTGAACAATTCAGGCGTATTGAGATCATGCAATAGTTTGTGTGACATATTGAAACGTTTTTTTACGGATTAAAATTTGTTGCTATCCTGCATTTTTTTTTTCTTCTTTCATGAGTGGTAGTTGAACCCACAAATATTTGAAACAGGACAGACACACATTACATGAATACCACTTTGACAGTGTCAATCAAAACTACCTTTTATTTGTATATTTTCATCACTGGAGCATAAAAATACATCTCTAAGATGTAAAATCATTGCATAAGTATCTAAATACAGTATCTGGTTATGTCAGTGTTTCTCAACCTTTATTGACCACATGCATTTTTTTTTAACTTAAAATCTAATCACACACCACCAAACAAAAAGTATTTGTGTATGTGTGTGTGTTTGTATATACTTAAATATTGATGATCTTGTGTAAGGTTACTCACAAATTGGCCTCTTTTTAAATCTGAACACTTCTTATTCTGTTGTGCAATTGGCAAACGGTGACTGTACAAGTTAATTGGACTTCTGCCATCTAGTGGTGTAGAGCAGCAGTGCAAGTCTGGTCCTCAAGAGCTCCCATCCTACCTGTTGTAGATGTTTATCGAGGGAAACCTCGTTAACATGGTGGGGGTGGGGGGGGGGGGTCTCTGGAGGACCGGACTTGGGCACTGCTGCTGTACACCACTAGATGGCAGAAGTAGTAGAGTATTGAATTGTTCTGCCATTCAGTATGCATCATTGAATATTGAATTGAATACAATAAAGTTGTATTCAATTCAATTCAATTCATCACCGGCATAGAAAGGTGAACAGAGATAAATTATTTATCGTAAAAAAATACATTTTCTTTTTGGAAGTAATGAAATTTGATAATATCGCACATCACATCCGATGATCGGTTGGGAATCACTGAGTTATATAATGAGGTTGATCGCTGAATTTTTTTCTTGATATTCTTCAGTTGGTCAGTCACATAGAAGTGAAGAGGAGGATGAGGAGGAGGAAGAGTGCGTTGACCTTTGCGCTCACACGGGTACCTGAAACAGGAAGCCACGTTAGATGTAGCCGATTGTTGGCTTCGTGTCAGAAGAGATGATCTGACATGCCGCTCCACCCCTTAGCTAACTGTTGCAGTGCAGATATAGAAAACCGGACCGCTGCTATAAAATCTTCAGTTTTTGTTTTGAAGACCGTAATCACTCTATCATGGGCGAACTGTGAACCGTGGACCACAAACAAAGAGTAACCACGCATTTTTTAAATTTTTTTGTTCGGAACACTCACTACTGGAGCTTTGAGTTGTCGATGATGGCTGGTTAGGCTCGGCTGTGATGCCCGTGGGCGCGACTGTGGGGTCAGCTCTCCCTCCCTGAAGCCCCACTCCCAGTTGGTTGAGCTCAGACTGTCTCTGGCTTTGGATCCATTTCCTCACCAGCTCTTGGTTTTCGTACCATTTTATGTTGGGCAAGTTGGTGCCGAGAAGATCGCGAACGTCGCCTACACTCATGGCCTGGGCGAGGGGAAAAGACATGCGTGAACAACTTCAACAAAAGAGTTCATTGAAACGGCACCTGTGCACACTGACCATAACAGCGGATGGATCGAGCGAAATGAATGTTTCCAGGTTCATGTTAATATTGGCGGTCAACAGAGTTCGAATGTAATCCAGCGGTGCGCCCCCTGCAGTTCGAGGTAGAAAAAAAAGAAGTCGAAGTCACCTTCATTTTGAGTGAAAATTATTACATCATGGGGAAAATTGTTTCAACAGTGAGAGCAGCTTGGGAAGCATCGTGGGTGTTGGCCTACCAAGATACGGCTCCATGAACTGATACTCCGCAATGGAGACATTTGAGCGGGTGGTTCCTCCAAAAGCTTTGAGAGCGATGACGAAAAGAGCTTGTTTTTTCGCCGGAGTGCAGATGGACACATTCAAGACACTCGCGTTTCTGCGGGCGACACCACACTCTCATGTGAATTCGGCATAAAGTCCGACTGGAGGGCACATTACTTTTTTCCATATTTTTGTTTATATGTAAATTCACTGTAACTCAAAATAACGCAGCATCAAGCCATTCATTTCTAAACTGCTTGCAACAAAAGTAAGTCCACCCCTATGTGAAAATGTCCAAATTTTTAATTAAGCAGGTGATAATTTTAAACATGTTTTTTTCCACCCACAGCACCCAATAATGACAAAGTGGTGACGTTTGAATGTTTATTTATTTTTTATTTTATTTTATTTTTTTGAAAGAGAAAACAGTCTTTGCCTTGAAGCTCAAAATTGAAGGGTGTTGTGTGAAGAATTGTCTGGGGATTTTTTTTTTGTAATGCCAAAATGTGTAGAATAGAAAACACTTGAAATGCATTCTGGATGTACTTTATGTTATTGTAACTTCTGTCTATCTTGCACTTGAATAAATTCTAAATAAATTAAAAAAAAACTAAAACTAATACTCAAACGAATTAAAAAGCAACTAAAATCAGACATTAAAAAAGCCTATCAAACCTAAAAACGAAGTAAAACAAATCCTACTATGGGCTTGTCAATCAACAACAGCGCAAGGGTCGACAATGCCATACAATACCTGAGACTTTGTGCCAAAATGCTTTGTAGGACATTAGCGTCTAGGGAACACAGGTTGTCTCCTCCGATGACGTTGAGCTCGGTACTGCCGAGTGTGTTCCCGTCGTGACTCAGATATTTGGTGATGATCTGCTTCGCCTGCACGGAGAACCAAACGTGTCCTTCACGAGAACTGCTCGAGTGTTTGTAGCATGAATTTGACACATGCCGTTCCCATACCAGGCTTGAGTTCCAGGGCCCGTTGGAGGAATCCATGAGGGAGGAGAGCGTATCCACCAGAGTGACGTTCCACAAGTTGATGTCACCACTGGTGGCTTGACGTGACGCCTGTCCCAGGAGTTCCACCTGATCGGCCGGGATGCTTGAATGGTCGGCATATGCCTTCGAACCAATCAGAGTCCATGATTTTATTTGTCAAAAAAAAAAAAAAAAAAAAAAAAAGATAAGTGAAACTACATTTTTATACAACTTTCAACAAGTAAGTGTAATTATTGTGAAAGTGTTCTTTGCTTTGGTCTTGGTCAATTCATATTATAGATGAGTTTTGGGGGTTTATTTTAAATACCTTATTTCAGTGTTACTGCACAATACTGAAGTCCATATCCCACTGAGGGGCTAAGCTAGCTAATGTTGCAATCTCGGCGGGGTTTGTTCAAGGTCACAAATGTTAGCCAACAGTTTTTATGGTTTAAGTACAGGCCAGCTTCTGGAGAACGTTTGCCTCCTTGAAAGAACCCTGACGAGAACGCAACATTAGCTGTCTTCGTAAACACTCGCAAACGTTAGGCCTCCAGTGAGATGGCAAAATGGCCGCCCCCTGAGATGTCCAAAAACATGTGGATTTTGTCGCTTAACTCATCTTCCATAAACGGAATAGTCATGAGAATGCCTTGTTTAGACGAGTGAAGGCAACTTTGCCAAATGTAATTGCAATAAATTCAATATCTATCCATCGTCACGAGCTGACGTGCACTGCTTCCACTAACAACAGGATGCGAACAGAGAGGAGCTAGTTTAAAGTCAATGGTAGCAACTTAGATACTTCTCTAACTCCTTGTGATGATATCCCGACTTTTTAATTTGGTTCATTTATTGAAAAATGATTGTCGTACAGTTTGAGAATGACCAATTAAAAAAATTCCAATGTTGGGCCTGGGCCGAAGCTTCCAGCAAGCAAGCGCCTACCTCTCGCAGCTTTTCCAGCACGATCTTGAGGTACTCGTCCTGGTCCACCTTCTCCGTGATGCTGCCCAAGTTGTCTCTGACGATGGTGGCGTTGAGGCAGCAGTTGAACTGATTCACGTCGAAGTAATCAAATGGGAAGACCTCATCACTGATGGTCACCTGCGTGATGGATCCGACCGTGCACTCGTTTTCTACAAAATCAAACATTTCCAGGTCAACTTACTTTTTGGGAGGAGCACAGTAGCTGAGAATTGAGTTGAAAAAAAAAATAGTGACAAACCGAGTGATCGCTTGACTTTATTTCGAATGGACTTTCTAATTTCTTTCTTCAGGCTCTTGCGCTTCTGTTTGTCCACGCCATTTTCCTTGAGAAGCTTCAGGAAGTCCTCTAAGAAACTCCGCTTTGTTTCCTTTAAAGCAACAAGTACAGCATATCAGGTGCCCTGCTGGAAATGATCCACTTACACTCAATTGGTCTAAAAATATGATTTGTACATGAAAAAGAATGTATGACACGCGCTGGAGCCTATCGCAGCTGCCTTTGGGGGACACTCTGAACCGGTTGCCAGCCAATCGCAGGGCACACAGAGACGATCAACCATCCACGCTCACACTCACACCTAGGGACAAATTACAGTGTTCAATCAGACTGCCGTGGATGTTTTTGGAATGTGGGAGGAAACCGGAGTACCCGGAGAAAACCCACGCAGGCCCGGGGAGAACATGCAATCTCCACACAGGAAGGCCAGAGCTGGAATCGAACCCGGTACCTCTGTACTGTGAGGTCAATGCGCTAACCACTCGTCCACCGGGCATGTTGTTTTCTCTTATATTAATTAATCTTAAAATCACAGTTGTTCATCAACCACTACAATGGACCCTGATGGGTGTTGCCATTCAAGGTGATTTTTTTTCATGCCTAAAGAATAATTAACACAAAAATTTTCAATACATTTCAGTCCACTTTGTGACATTTTTGTTTAGTGTTGTGCCGTTAAATACAATAATGCAATGATGTGGCTCGGTTCAGTCAAGGTTGGGACACACTGAAGTAATCCATAAAATGGAAAAAAAAAAACCAACAAAAAAAAAAAACAATGTGCGACATACTCGATTGAAGTTTTCGTAGAAGTTAGATGTCATAAAGAGAGGTAAAATCCCAAGATCCTCCAAGGTTCCTTTGGTCCAATTTGACGGAGGACTGGATAGCAACACAAAAGGAACAAACATGGCAACCATTTAATTACAGTAACCCGATTGACACGACCATGTATTTGGGGATAAACTGTAACTCGCTTATACTCGATCAAAATACACAAATATTGGTTTCCGCATCCCCGCCGCCATCGTACCCGTATGTCGTATTGCCGCTCTCCAGGAGAGCTTCCACAGCCGTGACTTGGCCCTCGCTCAGCTCCGCACAGTTTTGCAGTTTTCCCAGGATAGATGCGTCCGAGTTGCTGATATAGACGCCGTCCAGAGTGCAACACATGTTTCCTAAGACGGATATGTCGTTCTCGCTCAAACTTTGGTTGGTGATACCCTTGGGAAGAACGGAGAGAAAATTACATTTATATCCCATGTTTCTCTGCACAATATATGAACAAAAAAAAAAAAATGTTTTTTGGATTTACAGCCCCTTCTGGATTTTTTTTTTTTTTTAATCAACTGATTCTTGACGGATCAATGGGCAATTTTGTGAAAGGAATCCCCACAATATGTATGATCATATTGTTTGATTGATTTATTTATATTTATATTTTTTAATTCTTTGATATCACTATTTTTTTCTACCGTCCACTTTACTACAGTAAAACAAGAATGTATTTAATAATGTAATTAATTACGGGAGTAGTACAGGATAATTCTATTCAATTAAAAATACAAACATTTAAAAAAAATGGCATCAGTTTAGAAGAATAAAGTATCAATTTAATCAGCAATAGGTCAAGAAGTAACATTTCCTGACAAACTTTTCAGTTTCAAAATCTGAATTTTGGTGTAAAATGGTGGTACCCAAATTATGGCCCGCGGGCCGAACGTGGCCCACCTCCGCATTTTGCCCGGCCCCCTGAACAATACCAGAGATGCATTTTTTTTCTGGCCACGTGATAGAGACTTGTACATGCATAGAACGTAATATTCTATTCCACCCTTCCGTCTGTGGTCTATCCAAAACCTCTCCCTCAAAAAAATAAATAAAATCCGCGATGCACCCCTGAACTCACCAGGCAGCTCTTGGCATTTTCAAACAGAACGGTCGGTACGCTGCTGAGCACCGAAGAGAAGACAGAGAAATCGGCTTCTGCCAGCTCTTCAAAGTAAGATCTGCAGCTGTCTTGCGGCACCAACGAGTAACTGTGGAAGGGACACATCAAAACAAAGTTCCGCAAACTGCTCTTCTATTTTGCATTAGTGCAAACAAACCAACCAGCCTGATGACGATGCACTTACTTGTAATATAGCAGCATATCGTGAGGGTAAAGCTCAAAGCTGGTGGCGTCCGACTCATCTTTGATGTGGTTGTACATGCAGGTTAGCTGTCAAAAAGCATTGGAATTTTTTTTATTTCAATGTGCACGGTTTGGCCGGAACTGGGTTATTTTGATTGGCACGGTGTGACCACCAACAAATCTTTTCCTATTCAAATGAATGCAGATGAACGTTTTCTTCACTTTCAATAGTAGACAACAAAAGACAGGTGTACTCCAAAAAAGCTGTGCTCCTTTTTTCCAATTTCAACTTTCGGCTTTTCATATTACCCTCAATTTTTTTTAATTAATTATTTTTTTTGAGGGGGACAAACTTCCATACACTGGCATTAAAGTTTAGTCAAAGGTCTTTTTGCGCCGGTCAACCGGCCAGAATCTCACCATTCGATTGGATTGTAGTTCTTTGCCTTAGCAAGAATTTTATTTATTTGAAAGCATATTTACCTCAAAATGTTTTAAAATATTACCATAGAACACACAAGACATTTCGGTGTAATTAAAAAGTAGAATGGCACTCTTGCGTATGCTGAATTTTGTGACTGAGATTCATTACCGACAAGTTAAAGCAAACCCTAACAACTGTTGGCCTATATTCCAATTCCAATTATTGACTTTTGGCCAGGATTTCATTTGCCCTGAACCCGCATGTGTCAAACAACAACTCACCTGAGTCTCCGCCAGCTTCACCTTGTTTCTGCCTTTCCTCCGGCACGCCCGGATCAGCTTTTTGACTTGCGACTTTTGGAACGTCCTCACTGAACTGCACGTGAAGCCTTGCAGCACAGACGACGACAAACTGCAGACAAAGCACACGCACAGTCACCGGAAAAAAAAAAAAACAAAAACACAAAACAATTTGAACCTGACTGCTGCAGAAAATAAATCTCACTTGTCCGCACTTCCCAGCAGTGCTGTGGCCGATTCCACAGCAACGACCTCAAAGAGCAACTCGGCCTGCAGCAACCGCAAATCGTACCGAATAAGACACGTACAGTCGTAGGTATTCCTAAAAGTTTTGTCAAGAGTTCCCACCTGCTTGCGTTTCCATTTCTTCTTGTTGAGCTTGGCGAGAACCTTCTCGGTGCTGCTAACACCCAAAAGCAGAGAGCCGGGGATCTCCGTGGCCAAATCATCCGGGATGTTCTCCACGACATCGTCACTGCTGCTGTTCACCGAGATGATCTAGGCGGAGGAGGTAAATCGCTTTTATAGCGGCTCATGTCGAAAAAAAAAAAGGTTTCGAAATGTTTTCAGAATTTTTTTGGACCTCGGACTTCATAGGTGCTTGAACTGATGGGCTCTAATTTGGCAAGTTCAACTTTTGCCGACCTTCGCTAGTAATTATTTTTCACACGTGAATCTGCCAAGTGAATATCTGTCTAAAAAAAAAGTTATAGCTAATGAAAACCAACAAAATAACTCAAACTTGAAAGTAAAAAAAAAAACATTTTTGGAAAAGAGAGAAAATAAAGACTTTGCTTTAAAAAGAAAAACTCCATTTTATGTTGATAAAACTAATTCGAATTATCACAAACAAGTCCTTCTTTTTAATTTTTTAAACTTCATACATGATCTTTTGGGGTTCATTTTCAAATTTGAAACTATTTTAACTCTGGACTGAAACCAATCTTCAGGCTGTTTGTCAAATGTAAAGTCTGTGAATGCACTGTGGTTTAAATCTCTTTCAATTCGGACTGCACCGATTTGCAGAATGGAGGTGGGCTCAACAATTCTGTTGTGATGAAATTCGAAGCCCCGAATCTCAGAACTGTGAGGCAGACATGCCAAACACCAGGCCTAAAGTGTCCTACCTGCGACACAACCACCAGCTGGATGATCCGCGGGGCGGTTGTGAGGTGCATCAGGAACGTTGGGTCCTTGGAAGCGGTGATCACCTCCAACCCGTCAATGTTGCTGAAAGTATTTGCGGGCACGCCGATGATGAGAGAACCCAGCATCAAAAGTGATGATGCATTGTTGATCTGGCGGTGACACGTTTAGATTTAGATTTAGATTTAGATTTAGATAAGATAAAATATCAATCCTTTAAGAATCCCCAAAGGGGAAATTCAGATGTTACAGTAGCGCAGAAAACACTAAGCAGCATTCACAAAATAAGAACAGACAATATATATAAATGGAATTCTAGTAAGACACTGTTTGACAGGACTTTTTCAAAGGATAAACTGGGACGTGATGTATTTTTGAGTTTCAGATCAAAACAGAGCAACCTGGAGTTGTTTTTTTTTATGTAAAAGTAGCCCAAGTCTGGCCACTGAGATACCTGCATGAGCCCCGAGGACAGGAGAGTCAAGACAATGGCCTTGGCCTGGCCTGTATGCCAGCCCGTCACATTGCTTAGGGTACCCAGGGCCTCGTGTAAGTCCTTGCCGTCGATCGTTTTAATCTGGCCCACTGAGATGCCGGTGCTTTCTTTGCCGAGGGCTGCGATGGATGCGGCGTCAATCTCGTCGCCGAGATTGCCCGCCAAAGCAGCGGCTACCTGTCGACAGAACATGAAAACGCCCTTTTTTCCGTGTTGCTGTTCTGTACAAGCGGCAGAGAAATTCAAAGAGGTGACAAAGTCGAGTTATTAATTTTCACCCTTCTGAGATAGAGCCCTGAGAGAAACAAGACGCTGCTTCTTCCCGTGAGGCGATGTTGTTGAACAACAAAGCAAAAGAGCTCACCTGTGGATCCAGGTCAACACACAGCGTGGTCAGGTTGTGCAGAACCAGCATGCTTTCATCTGCCGATAACTGGCTGAATGCCATCCCTGGCACGAAGCAGCGAAATGACAGAGGAAGGCTGCGAAGATAAAGCAGCAACGACGCCATTAAGGTTTTTTTATGGGACAGAGAAAACAGATATACGCTGACTTTTTTTCAGTTTCACTCTTTCAGGGACAGCGGTCACGACACTGGACTGCTTATCAAGTTATCAGGTTACAGGGTGCATGAAAGGGTTAATGACTTTACTTATTTAATTTCTGATCAAGTAGTCTTTATTAGACATATCATGTCACCGTGTGATGAATAGCACATTCATCTCGCCATCCTTTTACCATCGTGTGTGTCCTCCATTAGGGTTGAGAGGTGAGAGGTCTCATTTAAGTCTGAGACAGACATGCTAACACTAATGTCCAATGAACACTCACAATATGGGGTTAAAGTTGCTGTCCTGCTTGTATAGCAGCTCTGTGTAGTAGTTCACAACGTCGACAGGTAAGACGGTTTGGTTGAAGATGGCGATGTTCTGTTGGTCCACAGTGAACAACTGGAGAACCTGCAGCAAAGAGGCGGTAATTGTTTAAACACACAAATGCCACTGTACATCCATCTCATATACAGTCGAAAGTACGCGAGCTAGCAAACTAACAAAACACTGTTTGGGAAATACCTCTGGGGAGCCGAAAGTGAAAAAATCTTGCAGAGTGATAAACTCAATGAACGGTCCAATATATTCTGCAAACCATGCTGTTGAGTTGAGCTCTGGGTCACTTGCGTTGTAACACTTGGGCGCTGACGCTGTTTAAAAAATATATACAGTACTTTCATTCGGAAAAAGATACCAAAAGCAGATGTCATATACTCCTAGTTAATGAATTATTAACTTATTTTCCCGTTATATGAATTCAATGTTGTGTTCACAGTAAAAATATAAGTCCAAGTCCAGTAAAAAGAACAACTTATTATGCTATAGTTCAGGGGTCCCCAACCGCCGGGCCGCGGACCGGTACCGGTCCGCAGGGCATTTGGTACCGGGCCGCACAGAAAGAACTTGCCTTTTTTCCGTTTTATTAATTTCGGAATGCGAACTGTTTTATTTTGAAAAATTACCGGATTCTCTGTTACATCCGTCTGTGTCACGCTTGACTCACGTCAAGGCACACTTCTCGGTCAGGTGACCGATGACGCTCATAAACAAAACGCTGAAGCCCGCAAAATGAGTAAAAGAGCTGCTTGGAGATCGCAAATGACGGCGGCCTTAAAAGTACGTTCGAAACAACTGGATCAAAGTTATGGCTGAATACTCTGAGATCGCCACAATAGCACTGTTGCTATTTCCGGCATCCTACCTGTGTGAGGTGTGGAGTTTCTGCAGCAACGGCGACTAAAACAAAATTACGAAGTAGACTCGACATAAACCACACACTTGAGGTGTCATTACCCCGAGATGGGACTGTCTGATTGCAGAAAATCAAGCTCGGGACTGTGGTGAGTCGTCATTTTCATGCACTTTGAATTTGCGTTGTATCGTATTTTGAAGGCATTAAACATTACCATAGCGATAAGAGTGTTGCGACCAGATTAGACGCTCCTTGTGTTTATTATTATATTTCGAAAACACCACAATTTTCATGCAGCTCATACCATATTATTTTGTTGTATTAATCCGCCACACCTTAAATGCCGGTCCCTGAAAATATTGTCTGACTTAAACCGGTCCGTGGGGCAAATAAGGTTGGGGACCCCTGCTATAGTTCATATGTTCAACATTGCTACATGGCTAGCTTGTTATTTCCTTTGGCTTTCAAAACATTCCAAATGTTATTTGTGGTTTCAGGGACGTGTTCCAATGAAATGAGTGTTGTATAGGTCAGCAAAAGTGTGATATACAATTTTTTTTTCAATGTCATTTTCAAATAGAGCTTGTTGGTTTGGTTCATGCTAGAAATCGCAAGTAGCCCGCTGTAACCACAATATGCTAGTTGTCTGTCATCAAATAAACATTGCTGAATGAAATACACAATCCAGTAAAATATCTTTGGAAAATTATGCAAACACCAAAATTTACCTGAGTTAAGGTAAATCGTGATGGTATCAAACACATCTCGCCTCACAAAGTCCACAGCAGAGAAGTTGAACAGGCCAAGAACCGATACACTGAAACAAAACCAGAACACATTCTTACTAGGCGTTGGCAGTCTTTCTTTGCTAGACTACAGATGGGTCCAGTCATTCCGGGTAAAGCCTTCATCAGGAGAGATGACTGATATAGAATGTTAACGTTTCAATCTTTTTTGATGGGTAAAAAAAATGTGGTGACTATTTAGGAAGAGTTTCTTATTTGTTTCAATTTGACGACGCCGATGTACTTAGATAAGCAGAGTTACTACCTCTGTTACTACACCTCGTGAGGAAAAAAGGAAGTATCTATTCAGGCAGAGCTGCGTAGGTTGACAGCGTAATGAATTGAGACACGTACATTAGAATGGAGGCCACTATTTGACGAACTACGGCAAGGGGTTCTTCCTCGCCCCTCACTGTTTTTGCATTATTCTGTTCAAAAGTGAGACTCCATGTCGGCGGTAACAACAGGTAACGGAATTAGAGGGCATACAATTCCTGAAAAGCCAAGCAGGAGGTGTTGTATGTTGTGACGTTTCCGATGAGATCCCTGGTGAGGAAATTCAAGTAGTTGGCGAGGCGTCGGTCGAACCAGGCTTTGACCTCCGATCTGCTGGAGCTGCCGAGAGCCAAAGGCCACACGCAGGGTAGCGTGAGCCTCCTCACCGCCACTGGGAGTGTTTCCTGCAGCGAGTAGAGTGATGTAATGTAATGTTAGCATCTTTTTTTTCAGTGGAATGATGCATGTTTACCAATCAGGACAAGCAAGGCCTAAATAATATCAGGAGTACTGGTGTATGTTCACAACAAATATCCTAATAATTGTTCCGGAAAATTGTTCTAATTTATTCCCAAGTCTGTTTTCTGCATTTTTGTAGCATTTCTTTTGCCGACATTGCTTCCACTGAGAAAAAGTGAAGGCTTAAAACTAACAGTTTATGTGTTGTGTGCTATGATCCACAAATTTGTCAGCAACTTAGGGCTCATCTCAAAACTCAAAAAGTAAGTCGCCACTAAAGTCCCAGGTAGCAAATGAAGGGCCCACCGCTGATGTTCACTGTACTGTACATACCTTCTCCAAGAACGAGGGCGTCTCGAGGTAATTGCCGAAGATGGAGCAAAGTTCGGCATCATCGTCAACAATGTCAGGCTGGCGAAGGTAGCTGCCAAGCTCCGACGAAGCCACGGAGTTCACCAACTAAATACACAACAAACATGAAGCCGATTATTGTCATGACGAGTTGTCCTGAGATGTCTTACATCTGGACCCGCACCTGATTCCTTTTGTTCTGAGGAATGAGCGACAGGAAGGTGGTCAGGTTGGGTAGCTGGAAGCCCAGAAATGAACTTTGCAGGAAGCCGTAGTAACTTTGGTTGTTGGCATAGCAACGCAGAGGTACTGGTCCTGCAATGGAAAACAGAGTCATCAAATATAACGGAATTTGCTCAATAGCATGATCAGATATTCTGACGTTTTGAAAGACTATTTCCATCCATCTTTGACACTTGTATGACAATTAGGAATCACGGATGCAAATCAACTTAGCATTATGAATACGACACAATATTCTCCATGGTGGAGGTAAGAATTTGCCCCAACTGAGTGAACACAGAGCAACTTCAAGGTGTTGGCCTTATTTTTTTTTAATGTCTCAACTTGGCGGTGTCATTACCTTTCAGAGCCTGAACAATGTGGTTGTGTACTTCCTTCTGTGTACGGTCACTGAGACTTGAGATGGTGGTGTTGAGCTCCTTGACTCTGACGATTGGAGCAACGAGAAAAGAGTAAGTTGCCGTTCGGGAGAAACGTGTAGTTCTAAGTCAGACCGGTTTATTCCTCGTACCCTTGCCGCTCGACGCTGCAGTTCTTTGCCGACAGTATTTTGAAAAACGGCGAAACATGCCGCGGCGACAGTTGGAACAGCAAGGGGGGCAGTCGAACCCGGAGCCACGCCGAGACCACGGAGTCGCGGACGGATGGTTCGGAGAGACTCGCACGATCGAACACAACCTCCAATAGGGCTGACCTCACTGGGGCAGGATAGAAACTTTCTTTACCCTGCAGAAGACGTGGGATGACGACAATCAATGACACTGATGACTCTATTTAGGTATGTGTGTCTTCTACGGACGTCTTACTTGCTGCCGTAAGCAACTTTTTTATCATTAATATTCAATTTCTCCTGCTTGAAGTCACTTAAATACCCACCTTGATCGACGGGGAGAAGTCATCAAAGAAGGTGGGCAGGGACTGGTTGGGGACATGCTCCATCACCATGGCGACCTGGGCAGGGCTGGTGAGTGCACCCGGCGTGGAGGACAGGTCAGCAAGCTGTCTCACCGTTAATTGTGGTAAGGCCTCGAACTGCACGCATGCACACGAACACACACACACACACACACACACACACACACACACACACACACACACACACAGGTTTAATTGGATTTGGGGAGTGAATAAAAAAAATGAAGAGGTGTAAGAAAGTACCGGTGAGAAGTTGGGATGGAGCATCTGAAGCTCGCTGAGGAGCACAAGGTGAGAGAAGGCGCCAAAATTTAACTGCAGCCATTCGCTGCTGTTGCTGCTGTGGGTGATGCAGCTGGGATCTGGACCACCAAAAACAAAAGAGGAAGAACAGGAAGTAGGTAGACGTAATTGCGAATGAGCAATAGGTGTGTGTGTGTGTGTGTGTGTGTGTGTGTGTGTGTGTGTGTGTGTGTGTGTGTGTGTGTGTGTGTGTGTGTGTCTTACCGTCTGTGTCATTGCGGGTCAGGAAGATCTTGATGAAGTGTGATACAAAAGACGTCTGTGCGGCAATGCTCATATTTGGCTGAACGTGACTCAGAGCCTGCACGCTGTAGTGAAGAAAAAGTGGATGCAATTACACTTGTGGCTTGAGATGTGAGTTCAATTTGTTCCATGATCGCACTCATATCTCAAATCATCTTTTCCCATTGAATTGAACGGAAATCCATTCCAGCCTTCCCCAAATGCTACAAAAATTGATTTCATGTGTATTTGAATAAGGAAAGATAACCTTTTGGAAACACAAAGTAATGACATAATTCAATGGAATGGAGAGCAACTCAACACCTTTTGTCCCACTCCAAATGCGATTCTTTCTGGTGTGCCTACTTTGGCCACTTGGTGGCAGTATAAGACAGACAAAGGAATATACTGGCCATTGTATTTATGGATTCCACTAAATTCTATCGAGGCAGTCGTGCCGCAGCCAATCATATTACAGTCGGGCGTGTTTCGTTGAACTCATTGGGATGGCACAAATATTAGTTACAGCGGATAACGAGTACAGAAAAGTGAGTAATATTATATGTTCTGTCTACATATAATGTTATTGCTGAACCATCTGTGTTTGGTCCATTGCCGAAAGCGTTCAAGGACCGCAACATAGACGCTAATTAGCGTTATCATCAAGCAAGTGAGGCTTTTCTTTAAACGGTTGTTTGGCTGTTTTAGGGTTTGTGTGACAGTAAACTTCAACCGGGAGTGGCATTAAACAGTTTGAAGACTCCTTTTTTTGTGGTGAACTTTTCATTATTTGCCAAACCACTGCTGATTGTGACGTAAGCTGAATGGAGTTCACTCTCACCAATCTCAAGTCTGTGCTCACACGTCAAAGCAAAGCTTGTATCTCAAAACCTCGCAGGTCAAGCCGCTTGTATGCTGAACTCGTGTTGCAAACCCGCACGTCTTACATGTGTTGGTAGCTGGTGCAATCCAAATCCTTGGTGGTGAGACAAGACAGGAAATCAGGAGAGACTGCATGCAGAAAAGGGTGAAGCCTGTGTTTGAACCAGAGCTTGATCAGGTCAAGATCATTGATGAAGGCTCCAGGGAAGGCGTCCAATTGGACTTCTCGGATAGCGTCCAAAATGACGGAGGCTGCTGAATTCCCGGGATTAAATGTCTGCAAAATAAAACACGTGACAGCTCGCTGTGACTGGTTAAGTTCTGTGTTCCCCAAACTTTATTGAGCCAAGGCACGGACGGGCACATACTGTATGTCATTTATAGGGCTGGGTTTAAAAATAATCGATTAATCGAATCAAATCCATTTTCCTTTTCATAGCCTGACATTGATTAGGGGGTTTTACAGCTTTTAAGTTTACAGTGGGTTTTTTTTTTGCCACTTTATTTACACAGTCTGCACTGTGGTTGGAATTCATTTCAATTATTTATTGTGTTGATCAGGTCATGTTCAATAAAACATACATACATGAATAATGTAACTGCATTGGGTTCAAATCTTGATGTAAATGTTCATATTTTCCTACCATGTTGGTGAGAAGGTCCAGAGACTCGTTCAGCAAATGAGAAGATTTGGTGAGGAGGAGCTTCCAAAAGGGAAGATGGCCAGAGGGGTTGCAGGTAAAGATCACAGCCAGATCCTGATCTGTTAGTGCCGTCAGCTGTGTCGTGAAAGAACAGAGCGGGTGAATGAAGACTGAAGGCCACATTAAAAACGCCATTCTCCCGAGAGGTGTGACGTTTACCGATGCGCACGCAAATTGCTCCACGGCAAAGTTGCAGAGGTGTCCTTCATGCGTCCCGTTGTCCAGTAGGAGCTGAAGTGCAGTGCTGTGAAAGGCATCACGATAAGATGTCATCCTGGACCCTTTTCCAAATCAGTTTCCGATTCAAACTGATTCGAAGGCACACCGTGTGATGCGGCCAAATCCGATTTGAACCGAACCATCATAAAAAAATGACAGTTAGCTTCTAGCCCCCACACATTGGGGGATTTCCCCCAACACATTCAGCAATTTTATCTACCGTACGATGTTCAATGGTGAGCCTGTATAAGCTTTTGAAAGGGCACATTCAATATACTTTAATGTACTTATCCAGAGTTACATATGACATTATAAATACAGTTAAGTATTGTTGTAAAACACCATAAATACATAGTTTTGAATTGTATTTTTATGGCGTGGCCTTAGCGGCAGCAAAACTGTACTCACCTGTTGACTGCCATACATATCTCTGTGGCTGTGAGCAACAACATGACACAAGTGAGCGACAGTGAAGCATTGTGTTATCGATGAAGTAAGAAAATGACTTACCATTTATTGGGGTGACAGTGCACTGATGATTGAGAAAATTAATATAGTCACTTATACATTACTTCTATAAAATCAACTTGAGTAAAAAGTGGTATTGCGCATCATCACCTCTCCACTGTAGATGATGCAACCTGGAGGAAAAAAACACAAGCAAAGAGAAATGATGAACTCACCGATGAACTCACCGTATTTTTTTATTAAATACACTTGTACAACTGAATGAGATAAAGGAAAGATCAGATTGCTTGACATTGTTGGGATATTTATTTTAGGATGTTCATTCTTGTGGTTGTAGTTTACTGTGATGTTCAAATGCGCTGCATCATAGTCCGAACTTTCTTTATTATGTTGAGCCTCTCAGGATTTCAAATGAGATAATTAGGAATCAAGCCTGCATTTAAGACCCAAATTATTGATTGAGTTTGAGTGAAGTGTTGATAATTGACACAACAAAGGGGGATCAATTACCTTTACAACTGCAGAATCATTTCCCAAAGTTAATCTAGTCTGGGATCTCATTAGATCGAGTGAGTGTCTTTTTTTGAATTATCTCACCAGATGGAAGGAGCTCAGCCAGTTCCATCTTGCTGGAGGTGATGGACGACATCACGCGGAGAGGAACGGTCTGCAAGGCCAGGTCCAATCTTGTGAAACTGGAGCACGACAACGGTAAACACGTCAACGTTACATTTCCTATTTAAAAATCTTTCATCTTTCAAAATCATTTTTAAGGGTAAATTTGTACATCCCCCAAAACCAGTGTGTAAATTAAGTGTGATGTAATTCTCTATCCTTTATGTATTTTGACTGAAGACTGTCCAAGGCCTTTTATTAAATTGTGAAAAAAAAAAGCACGCTATGTCCTTTTTGAAAGACATTTCATGTATGGACTCACAGCATTTTGTAGGATGAACAGGAAAGATTTCCATTGACCGGCTGAAAAGGGAAGAAACGAAAACGTGGTTACCGTCAAAAATTGCTTCTCTTTCAAACCCTCGACTGATTGCTGCTCACCGGTTGAAGGTGTTTGACAAGGTGCGTGAGGAATTCAGGGATTTTTAAGCGTTCCTCGGGCGAGTTGGTCAGGTGATCAAACACCGCATCGATGATGATGTCTATCTCCGGGAGACCGGGAGACGGAGTGAACAGCAGGTCCAGCCGTTGCCGTAAAGACAGAAGAGGCAGGGCCTCCAGCTAAAAAGAGGCACTCATTATGATCTTGCTCATAAGATGGACCGACAACTATGGTCTGTTTGTTGTTCATCGTGACATCTCACAGGGTTGAAATCCGGGTTTAGCTGCAGAATCTCTTCGAAGGTCAAAAACCGGGAAAATGGACCCACATTCACCATCAGCCACTCTGTGCTGCTGTTGAATCCTGAGAGGCAGCTTGGGCCTGTGAATAGTCAAGAAGTCACCTCTATGACAACCGTGTGCATCGAATTAATTGAATGGATTGTGAGCCGGAGGAATGAGAAACATGACACATATCATGCAGTTATAAGGCGCCACTTCACAAATGTGTGATATCCATCCCTACCCAACTTTATAGCCTGTGCGCGCGCCGGCAGTGTTCACACCCACAACGGCGTAAAATACCCTTTTTTAAAAAGCTCCACGTGGGTCTGCGAAAATCAAACTTCTTCTAGCCTGCCGGTGCCCAGATTTATACCGCGCCTCGCGCCAGACTTGCACTGGCCAAGAAGATAAGCTCAAATGCTCTCCAGCTACTTACTAGCACAACTCTTCACAAATTTGTCTGTAAAATTTGTTTTAAAAGAGCAACAACTGAATTCACCCGAAATTGGAACAACTTGAAATTCAACCATTGTGAATGAACATTTGAAATTGAGTGAGGGCATGCATGACAAGCTGACCTGAGACTGGACCAGACAGGAAATTCACGACGAATTGCTGCAAGATCCCGATCCGCCGCGTGTGGGTGATGTTGTCATAGTGTTGCTTGAAAATCTCCAGGCTGACATTGAAAAGAGCATAAGGAAGCAGTTTGGAGCTTTTTCTTTAAGCGAAGTGTCAACTCATATAAAATGAAATAGTATATTTCATGTTTAAAAAAACAAAACAAAAACAAAAGGAGATCTCATTTTCAGGCCTTTTAATTCACAATTAAGTTCATTTCCCCTTATAGTACCTTGTAAAATATTAAAATTTGAGTTTGCATTGGGAATGTTAAATACCCAATTCTCACAAATTTTGATTTAGCATCCAACCATCCATTTTCTAATCTGCTTATCCTCACGAGGGTCGTAGGCCTGCTGGATTCGAACCCTGCACCTCTGGACTGTGAGGCGAATGTAGTAACCAGTTGCCCACCGTGTTGCCCACTTAGATTTACTGAGCCATGAAAAGCCATGAGATTTTAAAGGCACCTTTTCCCACCAACGTTTACCTTAATGAGCTTGTTGCCAAACCTTAGCCACTTAGCATTTAGAGAGCATCTTTGGCCATAAAGTGTCAGATGAGAAGTATTTGAACTATATTTAATTTCATATATTAGGTTTTATTTCTAAACCATGCTAAGGTCTTTTCATTGTTTTTCTTCACTTACATCTCCTGATATGACTGACAGCTGAGGTTCCTGTAGCTCAGGCAGCGCAGGAAATTGTCGGACGCAAACGGCAGGAAGCCCTTCAGGCGCCCTGAGAACCACCTGGCGATGACGTTGCTGTTCCTCAGCTGTTCGTCGCTCAGCAACGCCACGCGGGTCTCACCGATCACGTCCAGAATCTCAGGCGCAGATGGTCCGATTGTGTTCTTGGGCTAAGCAAAAAAAAAAAACAAAAACTTTTCTGAACTGTCTGTCCTTCTCTCATTTAAGATGATGACTTCTTCTTTCACTAACGATGCTGGCCAGCATGTCCAAAGCTGGATCCAAGATGGGCGAAAGATGATTGAGCAGGATCTTCCATAGCACTCTGGACCGTTTGCTGTTGCCGGTGAGATTGCACGACAGAAGAGACGCCAGCTGATTTGCCGTAAAGTTCTGCAGCTGGATATAGGAGATGGGTCAAATCGCAAATATGGTATACTGTATACTGTACATTTTTATTTGTATCAGGTATTGTCGATACAGTATGTGACAATTTTGCTCTGAACAACCACTGAGTCAATGAGAGAATGGAAATATGCAGACAGTGTTGGTGGCCAGCTAGCTGGCCCTGTGAGGCAAATTGAAAATCTGATTGGCTAAACAAACAAGACAATAGACTAGTGGGAATAAATTAAGACTTCAGGGGAAAAAATAGAGTGGTGTCTTGATTTAAAATCCAAACAGGCCCCAACATAAAAAAAAAAAAAATGCAACCTGTGAACACGCATAGTCCTCCAGTGTAAAGTTGCAGGGGATGTCCACAGATGTGCTCAAGTCCAAATGAATGTCGGAGCTGCATGATTAGCATATTAGCACATCAGGACGACAAGTCGTGGCGACTTATAGGACTTAGCTTTCAACATACCTGTCGATTCCCTTGCAGACATCAGTTGCTGTAAAATTGCATCGAATTTGTATTAACTGTGCATGTCATCTTTTTCAGATGTTTCATCGGAAAACTGCCTAGCAACAAGTGACCTCCCCAGGTAAAAGCAATTTCAGCAGTTCTGTCAATGTGTCTGCTGGATACTTGATATTTATTTGTAGTTGCCAAGTTTTATAATGCAATGCATATGATTTAGAGCAAATGTGTGAATTTTCAAAAGTCTTCTTACCATTGATCTGGATCATCAAGCACTGTGGAAGAACAAAGCATGTTAAAGCTTCGGAAATAGAATAGAGTCATTGTGAATGTAATTCGCGAAAACCTCACCTTTATGTTGTCAGACACACACTCTGCGAGAAAAACCCCGCCCCCCAAAAATTCACACGTTCAGGTCCAGATTACAGCTCCGGAATTTATCCAACAATATTATTAACAAGATTTGCTCATGAAGTTTAATATATGTAGCCATGAGAAAGTTTTCTCTACCTTTAGGTGTGGATTGGATGAATTGGTCTACTTTATCCCGTACGAGAAACTCCATGTCAGGAGGCACGGACACAATGACTCTTTGTAGCTGCCCAAGACTGAAACAGCAAAACACAAATAATGAAACATTCTTTTAACCGCAAACAAAAGTGATGGGCTGGAAAAAAATATTTGATAAAAAAGTAATAATTTGACAATGCGATCATATTTTTCCCATCCATCCATCCATTTTCAACACCGCTCCATTTTCAACGCTCATCCTGAACAGAGTCACAGGGAGTTGCTGGAGCCTATTCCAGTTGACTTCGGGCTGAAGGCAGACGACACCCTGAACTGGTCGCCAGTCAGTCACAGGGCACATGGAGAGACAAACAACCATTCACACCTGCACCCACACCGACACTGAGTGGGAACCGATCCCATGCAACCCGCTCACAAGTCAGGCGAGTGTTCCACGATGCCATCAGCGACTGATCATGTTTTTATTTCGAAAAATCATTTTTATCAAAAATATTTCTTCAAACATTATTAGATGTTATTGTAAATCATTGATATCTGAAACATTTTTTCTCAATACAGATAAAGTTTTTTTTTCCGTAGAAAAGCTATTTCACAGTGATTAACAAATAAAAAAAAAAGTACTCACATGGTTTGAGAGACTGCACAAGGAGGCTGGACCTGCAATTTCCAAAACGTTTTAGCATACTTTCCTGATAGTGAAATACTGCTGTGTCTGCACAATCGAACCCATCAGAGCAGTCACCTCAGTAGCCACCAGGCGCAAAGCATGCAAGATCTCAAGAAGCCTCCTCTCTCTGGGGGACTCCAGCAGGAAATCAAACACCTCACGAATCACATCGTCCTTCTCGGGAGGAGTCAGGCGAGGCAGGAACATCAGCTGCGCCGTCTGTCTTGGAGAGAGCTGATCCAGAACCTCCAGCTAGTGAGGCGACAGAGAGAAAAATGTCATCAGCATGCGGCCCAGCCTTCGCTTGGTTGAGTTCTGATGCGCGTGACTCACGCCTGAGAAGTTGGGGTTGAGGTCGTAGAAGTCTGCGATGTCAGCCACGTGCGAGAAGGAACCAAAATTTTTCCACAGCCATTCGGTGCTGTTGTTAGCTGAGAAACACGCGTCTGAAACATACACACAAGACTTCATCAAATACGATATATTACGGACTCAGACGCGATAAAAGTGGGTTTATACTGTCCTTGGAAAGCTATTCCAGAGATTTTCAACTCATGTTCAAATAATTCCTGTGGTTGAAACTTTAACCAGATCATAACAAATGTTTCCTTTTTACTCACCAGACATGTTGTGACGCCTCAGGAAGAAGTAGACGAAGTGCGTATAAATGTTTTGGTGGTGTAGTGAAAGGGGTTCAAAGTAGCTCATGTGTTGGCTGAGGAGAGCAACGCTGCACAGTGACAAAAGATAAATATTATCACTGGAAACATGTAACAGAGATTCCTCTGAGAATATAAACATACAAACGCATGTCAGAGTAAGAGGAAAACGGTGGAAGACTCACAGGGCTTGGTAAGCGGGACAGGAGAAGTTGTTGCCGCTCAGGCAGGATAGCAAGTCCGTGGGGATGTGGGGAAGGAGGGGTGATAGCTTGATATGAAACCATATGGTGACGAATTCCGGGTCATGTAGGTTATCCTGAGTAAAACTGTGAGAGTCTGCTTCGCTTAAGATCTGCCGGAAGTCAGACGCCACTTCTGTGAAGTTCTGGAAACACAAAAGAAATGTTCATGAAAAAACGTCCATCCACAAAGTACAAATACAGTAGTGCCTTAGAATGTAACACTATGTGAATCATGATTTAATGCTGCAACCCAATTCGTTATGTCGCTCCTTCTTGTGTGCCCGTCATATATTTCCGAAATACTGGTATATTCTTGATACTTATACAGTATATGCCATATTAACAAATAGTCGCTGATGGTGTAGTGGTACACTCGCGGAACTTGTGTGCGGGCAGCGTGGGATCGGTTCCCACTCAGTGACGGTGTGCATGTGGGTGAGAATTTGTCTCTATAACAACCAGTTCAAGTCAGCTGAGATAGGCTCCAGCAACTCCCCGCGACACTGTTCAGGATACGCGGTGTTAAAAAAGGATGGATGGATGGATAGATGGATGCTGTATTAAAATAAAGAACATGAGTTTGAGTAGTAGAATAGCTCACAGCTGTGACAAACTCCTGTATCAATAAGTTGAGATGTTCCGTCAACTCCAAAATCAGTCTCATGACGTTCCCTTCAGACATGGTCAGGTTGGTTCGAGCTGCGCAGCGCATGATGCGTGCCACGTTTCCCACTGCATCAGTCAACTGGGGGTGGGGGGCAATGACAAGGAAGAATTTGGACAAACAGAAATGATATACAGTCTTATGTGTATGTATGTTTTGTTTTATTACCCCACAAGGATTGCCATCAAGAGCGACGCGGCAAACATCCTGGACGTCGACCGTTCCATTGTCTACATTGTGATCCAAGTTGCTGTAAGACATAATGCACCATGAGCTCGCTAGCTAGCTAGCTTGCTAGCTATATAGCTGTATAGATAGACAAACAGACACACACACACACACACACGCACACACACACACACACACACACACACACACACACACACACACACACACACACACAGATAGATAGATAGATAGATAGATAGATAGATAGATAGATAGATAGATAGATAGATAGATACTAATTAAACTTAAGAGACACCACCAAAAAAGCAGGATCGGATTTTTACTGAGGCCTAAGTGTTAGTGGGACGTACAACACATGGCGAAAGGCGAGTAGGAGATGATCACTCATGAGGGATTGTTCGTCACTGGAGAACCTCCGCAGTATGGGCAGGACAACATTTCGATACCAGTCCTTCATTTCGTCTAATTCTGGCACCTCCAGAGGGACAGGTGAATAATAGGGCCTGTAATGACTCGCCATCTCCGCCAGAGTCCAGTTGAGCAGGAACTGCATCAGCGTGCTGCTTCTTATTCCTGATACGTGTCTCTGGGAAATGAAATGGGAAATATTAATTGATGCATGGATACAGTCAGTATGTGCCTGAACGACGAATGAATGTTTGTACCCGTTTGGTGAAAGTGACAAAGTTATGAACGAAGCTCATGATGGGTTGAAAAGCCATTCTGGTGCCTTCGATCACCTGGAAGTGTAGCAGGGATCAATTGTATTGAAATTAGTTCTGCAAACAATTCTTGCATTCACGTGAGACAGCTTCTCAGAATGTGGGTTGGGAACCAAAATGGGTTGCAGTTTTACTGAGTTGCAGACTGTCAACCCCCAAAAATGTGATTTTATTGAGTAGAACGCAGACACTCAAGTTCTTGGTTTAGGTTTTTTCACTTACACGTCACATTGATAAATAAAGAAAATCAAATTTACAAATGAAAACAAGTCATTTGTCATTGCCAATGACGTTATATGTTTTCATTTCAGGCGCCAGGGAGGAACCTGATTTGTAGTCTGGGTCTTCAATTTGGGAAGAGTCGGCTCTATGGGGGCAGTGTGAAAGTCAGCATACCTCTGTGAGAGTGTTATGAGGGGATGGAGGTAAATACGGGCTGTATGTCGTTTGGGGGTATTCAGGCTCGGTCCAGTTGTGGATCCCTTCATAATTGTTGGTGGTGTTGGCTAGCGGGCCATCTGACATCAAACTGTGGAAGATAAGCGAGAGGGAGTCCTTGGACAAACCCGCCACCTCAGGCCTCAAAAGCAGTTCGGCCTTTTGTGCCGGGGAGAGAAGGTGTAGAACTTCCAGCTGTGTCGGGAAGAGAAGAAAAGAGATTAGAGGAGGATCTGCTACTTTTTATGAATCTCATCTACGAATGGTCCATCGGTCCATTTTAAAAATCAACTGTTACTCTTGAGCACAAAGTTTGTCCACTCTTGGATTACAGATATTGTTTGGCTGTTAGAAAGACTAACAAAACAAAAACTAATAAAAATGACAGAGTGTGACTCACGCCGCTGAAAACCATATTGAGTGCTGGTAAATCACTGATTCTTGCCATGACGTTGAAAGCACCGAAATTCTTCATCAGCCATTCTTCACTGCTCTCATTTGGATTCACGCAACCTGCAACCAAAAAAAAATGCATAAAGTTTGCGACCGTGTTCTTCAGTGCTATAAAATGTATTTAAAGGTGAGCTATTTGCTTTTGTACTAATATTTGGGTCTGTGGAGTGCCTGTCCACCCATCAAGTATGAAAATAAACACTTAACCAAATTGACTTAATACCGACTTAATAAAAAATAAGTGTGATGTAATTCTTTACCCATTACTATGATCGAAGAAACCTATTTGAAAAAAAAGCATAATATGTCTCCTTTCAGAATATTTGTTTGATATACTTGATACGAATACTTTTGAGACCCTGATAACAAAGGCCCAATTCCTAAATGGCGATTGTCATATTTTTCTGAACCCTCTTAAAATCGACACTTTCATCACAAATCCATTGTGGTGGTTAAGCGTTACCAGTGACTCCATTTCTCGACAGGAAGGGATACATAAAGAATGAGTAGATCCATTGTTGTCTGGCAGGATTCATCTCAGAGAAATGCCGGCTGAGCTCCTTCACCCTGCGAGAAGACAGCGTAGTATTCAGAAAGGCGCCAACTCGGAAGATGGAGCTCACTCAAGTGACGGACAACATACGCACATTGTTTGGTAGGTGGAGCAGCTAAAGTTCTTGTTGCTGAGGCAGACCAGGACGTGTCTGTTGATTGACTTCAACAGCGGTGCCACCTTGACCTCCATCCACATCTCTACAAGGGCTTCATTATGGAGCGGCTCCGCGTCAGGGTCCAAAAAGATGGCTCCCTCTAGGCTGAGGTGCGCTCCTTTTGCACTGGACCTCTGTCAGAATACAAAAAAAGGAAAGGAGATTGGTAGAAAATAAGGACTATAATGACACATTATAAAAGAGGAACCATTTTTTGGTCATTTAAGTCTATGAGGAAGAAGTACCATGTGCCTTCCTAGATTACATTGAGTTTTTTTTTTTTAAATTGTCTGAAATGGTTCATCTGCCAACTGCTAAAAGTAAGAGCACTCTGCTTTATTCTGCTTATAAGAAGTGCTCAAAGGACTCCTTGGAGAGCAAGCTATGTGAAGTCTGAAAAATGTTCTGTTGTTTTGGTCTTTCTCCGTTTTTCGTTGGGTTTTTTTCTACCCGCTACCCCAGTGCCGATCATGAACTTGTCAGGTAGGTATTTGTGCAACAACATTCCTCAAGCTACGTGCAAGTGAGTCCGTCACGGGCGTAATCTTGGGCCAAGCCTACCATGAAGGTATAAATATCTATTGCCGCTTCCAGCATTGTTTTCAGATTCCGCATGTAGTCCCTTCCGGTGTTTGATGCAGGTGAGCCCACACACTGGAGGAAGCAGCTCGCGGCATCTGGGTCCTTTAGAGCGAGAAACCCACCCCCAGAATGAACGAGCAAATTCTCAGATTGTCTCTGATCAATCAGGTTTACATTTCTAGCTTTGGGAGGTATTTTGATCGTAATCATAAAGTGAGTGAGAGGGGAAACCCCCCCCCCCCATCAAATATCTAAATTCCTTTTGATGAGTCACATATCGTTTGTGCTTCACTCGTCACTCACCTGGCCGGTCGAATTGCATCTTGCTTCTCTGCGCCGGTCATGCGAAACGATGAGCAATTCAAAGTAATCATTGAGAGATTAGAAAATTGTAGGAAAAAAAAAAAGAAACCGATTGGCGCTTTTTAGGCATCTTACCCTTGTTGACTCGATGGCACTGTTGGGGTGAAAAGAGAGACAAGAATGGGGGATTGATAATAACAACATGTAGTCGGAATATTTGTACTTCCACGTAAATCATGAAAACATTTGGACTGAAGGGCTGCAATCGGCTGGAAATCAACTATGTTACATAACAATCGGCAGTATTTTTAGACTTGAGATAAAATATAAATGGAATAACAATCTACCATACAACTATATACACAGTACTAAAGGACAAGTAAATGTCTGATGTTGTTTCATTTGACGGATTGACAAGGAAATAAGCGTTGCCCACGTTTGTGCAACGCGTTTTCATTGTTAAATTTCCAGACTGACGAATAATCTAGGTGAAAGAGTAGCTCTGACTAATACCGCCTCACCAAACCAGTCTCATTAAAGCCATTTATACAATGCAATTACACAATGGGTAACGAACCGCTTGAATTGTTGGATTTTAACCGCGTAGAGCACTTCACAAATTTATTCGACCACACATTTGTCTTTGAGACCATCAAATATAAGAAAGTGCCTTTGACCAAACACAAACGTGGGTGCACGGCACGCAACAATACACACCTCGAATGACTAACCGGGAAGTCTGTGGCTGCTTGCACAGCCACGCCGGTCAGAATCAGTTAAATAAACCAGTAACGTACCTCTCATGCCACCATTGAGCCAGAAAGTCAAATTGGAACTAAAACAGTGGGTTAACACAAATGCAAATGGCCAGCTAACATATAGCTTAGCATACACAGCATATATTATCAATGCATACACGCGGCATATGTTTTCATAAACCCATTAGATTTACATTTGTCCCCCTCAAACAATCCATCCATCCATTTTCTGATTCGCTTATCCTCACAACTGTTACGGGCTGTGCTAGAGCCAAAATCAACTGTCTTCGGGTAGTACGCGGGTACACCCTGAACTGGTTGCCAGCCAATCGCAGGGCACACAACCATTTGCGCTCATACTCACACCTACGGACAATTTAGAGTGTTCCATTAATCTGCCACGCATGTTTTTGGAATGTGGGAGGAAACCGGAGTACCCGGACAAAACCCATGCAAACTCCACATAGGAAGGCCGGAGCCAGAATCAAACCCATACACCCCTCAAACTAAAAATTTGGAACTGAGAATTTTTAGGAACCAGAATCAAATCGGGGAACTAGAATTGAAAATGGAATCGTCCAAATTCAGACACTGCAACAACCCCACCCAGTTGCTTGTGGTAACACACAACAACAACAAACAAACAAAAATTAAAAAATCCATATGCTAGTCCAACCCCAGTTTGAATGCTCTGTAAGGCTATATTAAAAATATAATTCAACATAAAATAACTTCAGCCAACATTGTCATTCACAATTATTTTTCAGTCCATATACTGCAGTTGTAAGAATGCCGTTTTAGGACCAGACAGGGACAAATCAATTGAGAAGAAGGAACGTTTTGTAAACAGCTGTATTCTGCTCCTGACAGACACGTGTGCAGCAAAAGCAAATGATCACATGGACGTTGATCCTCTCTTACCAAAGCAACCCCACAGGAGGTAGAGGAGCAGGAAAATGTAGCCGGATCTCATGATGTTGCAGCTCTCATGAAGATGAGTGCGGTTTTGTCGCACGGGTCGCTGGGGAGGCAAGCAGAGACATCGTGTCAAACGCTGGACAACACCACGGCGACAAAATGCAAGAGCGATCCACAAGGTCGGCGTAGCCACCATGAAATTATAGGATGATAACAGGGCCCTTTTATTCTTCATAGAAATTCTGCTCAGACATGTTGTGAGGTACCTGAAATTGTGCCGTGAGATACAAAATGCTGCAATGTGAGCAGCTGATAGAAATCAGGGAGTGGCCATCAGATACTTTTCAGGATCTGCCACGACCTTCATCATTGTCGCACAATAGTCTGAGACATCAGTAAAAAGAATGCTGAAATTCAACACTGTACAGTCTGAACAATGAACACAAAAGACCTTGTGATTCTCTTTTTTTACAAAAACAATACAATCGGGGTGGGGGGGGGGCAAGTGCCGTGATGTCATGGGAGTGACAGAAGAAGAACATTTGCACATGTAAGTTTTGACATCTTGGGTATAGTTCCCCTTTAAGAGGCTTAACGTATGTTGATCTGGAAATATATCACCAACAGTCGTCTTTCTTAATGTGACGTTGGCATTTTATTGTCTAATGGCATAATTTACGGGCTACAAAAAAAAATTCTACCGTCCCCGTGGTCGACTGGTTAGCGCGTCGGCCTCACAGTGCAGAGGTGCACTGTTCGATTCTGGCTGCAGCGTTCCTGTGTGGAGTTGGCATCTCCCACATTCCAAAAACATGTGTGGCAGGTTAATGGAGCACTTTAAATTTTCCCGTAGGTGTGAGTGCCAGCGTGGATGGTTGTTCACTTATGTGCGCCCTGCGATTAGTTGGCAGGGTGTACACTGCCTAGTGTCTGAAGACAGCTGGGATAACGCCCTGCAATTAGTTGGCAGGGTGTACACTGCCTCGTGTCTGAAGAAAGCTGGGATAGGCTGCAGCATCCCCTGCCACCCTCGTGAGGATAAGCAAGTCAGAAAAATGGGATAGGCTGCAGCATCCCCCGCCACCCTCGTGAGGATAAGCAAGTCAGAAAAATGGATGGATGGAAAAATCGACAGCGCATACTTGTGGTTTGGCACCCGCATATTCACAGGATTTTTTTTTTCTTCCCCATTTTGCACCTCCATTCACACAGAGACGAACAACCATCCACGCTTACACCCACACCTAGGGACAATTTAGAGTGTTCCATTAACTTGCCATGCATGTTTTTAGAATGTGAGAGGAAACCTGAGTACCCAGAGAAAACCCACACAGGCACGGTGAGAACATGCAAACTCCATACAGGGAGGCCGAATCAATTTTACACCTATTTATGCATATTTAATGCTTATCAGGTGTAATTTTTTGGGTGTAATTTTTTCCGCCCCAATGCATTGCAAAGGGTGTCAATCATATGCTATGACTAACAACGGGAGTAATCGATGATGGTAACTTGCTCACGTTTTGTCGCGTCTTCTCGATGCTTTATTTTCTTGTGCTTATGTACGCTTGAGTGTCTTTGCGTCGAGTCGGTCAATTTCATTTGTGGCCTGTGGCTTTCAGTATTGCCGTCATTAAATCTTTTTGAAACGTTTGACCAGGTGTAACTTAACCCTTTCAGGGACAACGGTTACTACATTGGACAACTTATCCTGTTATCGGGTTACAGGTTGTCATTATTGGTGCATGAAAGCGTTAAGATAAAGGGAGGTGCTAGCTGGCCAATAGTGGACGCTAGCGTGCATGAAATAAGACTTAAAAGCGACTCCAGTTTTTGTTTGAATTGTTTGATAATCAATATAAATAGTTAAGGATGAGTAAAGCTGTCTGATTTGTGGCATATTTCCGCCCAGGGTTATTTTATTTATTTATCCATCCATTGATTTGTTTTTACCTAAAGAATGTCACTCTTCTTTAATCTAAGAGATAGGAATATGCTGCGCCTCGCTCTGAATGCAGCTCGACGACAAGCCTCTCACCTTGAGGCCAACGTCACCTCCATTTGACCTAAACCCTTTTCACACTGCACTTAGCAGGGCACAGCATGCCATTGCGAACCGCCTCCTTCCAGCAAAATACAATTGATCTTTTGAATGTCTTTATGGGACTTGTCTCGCAAGTTGCTCCATCCTTTGCAATCATCATGGCAACACAAAGCTGCAGGAGAAAGTTACATCATGTCAAGGTGCGGTCTACTTTTCATCCAAATATGGGCACACTGGATACCGGGGCGCTGTCGTTTTTCTGCCCAGGGTAAAAAGGGCTGTCGTGGTTGAAGACAATTAGGAAATGGCGGAAGAGATAGTGAATAAGTCAAGGAAGTCAATTTTACAATTATTACGGAATCATTATGACACCGTTTGAGAGGATAATGTACGAAGTGTGTTCACTGGGGTTGTAATAATTTTGGATTTTTCAGTATAGTTGGCTTTTATTTCATTTTGAATTTTGTTGTTTAATTTCAGTTAGTTTTAATTAGTTTCCCAGAGCAGGTTTATGGCAGTTTTTATTAAGTTGTTTTTTTTTTTAAATGCTTAATTTAGTTTTTATTGGTTTCAGTATTAGTTTTAGTTTTTCAAAATATGTAGAGTATTTGAGGACTGATTCTAACAATTCTGTAATGAAGCAACGTCAATTTTCAAATGACTGACCTTCCTTGTTCTGTATGGACATAAAGCAATACCGAAATAGAGTATTTACATTTAAAATGAACCTTGAAAAATTATGTTTGATATTAAATGAATTAAAATATTCAACATTTCAACATTTTTGGGACCCGCCAATGCTTTTAAAAGCATTTTCTTTTTGTTTAATTTTATTTCGGTCATGAAAATTATTTTTACAGTTTTGATTTGAGTTATGTTACATTTGGTATGAACGCGCACCATCTTGATCAGCCGAGCAGACGGCACAATTAATCCAGCGGCCCAAAGAGGATGCTTTTTCAAAGGCTGATATTGGGGGTCAAAAATCAGAGCAAAAATGGAACAAAGAGCCACGTTTTTAATTTACTTTTACTGTTTTATTTAGCATAGTTCTCTTTTTTTGCCAGTCACTGCAATTCTTTGTTTGAGTTCCTCTTTGTCGTCTTCCTTCATAAGATAGCTAACTCGCAATGACCTAATACGACTAACTGTCTCACACTGACTCTCTTACCCTAATTAGTCATTCCACTATTGCCCCACACTTTCGTGTGTGTGTGTGTGTGTGTGTGTGTGTGTGTGTGTGTGTGTGTTTGTGTGTGTGTGTGAGACCTTTGGCTTAGTTACACTTGTTTTACTCGCATGCTTTTTAATTATTGGATTTTGTTTTATGTTTGTATGTTTTATATTTTCCAATTGTTTTTTTTTTTCCCCTTGGGCTGCAAACTTGGAACGACATAACTAGTTCGTCATTATCACTGTATCCATGCACTGCATTGAATTACGTAGTCCAATCAAATGGTATAAGTAATTCAACTACTATTTTATATGTAATGCTTGGTTTGGACCCACTCATTTTTTTGTGGAACATATATTTCAACTTATCGCATTATTTAATATTGCCATGAATTATATTACTTCTTTTGAAATTATGCAAATAAAAGCTAGAGACTAATAAATGCCTTATGCCTAATAGATGCTTGGTGCTCTCTGGTGAGGGCCACTAATGTGAGGAAAGATGCAAAATGGAAGACCAACGTTAAATAATTCAATTTTAAGGCATTGTTGCCACATTATTTTGCGAGACTTCTCACAGACCGTTTCGGCAAGTGTCCTGCACATGACCCAAACAATAAAGCAGCATCTTCAGCGTTGGGGCTCGCGAATTAGAGACCCCGGGTACGAAAGAAAATACAGTTAATGGATACAAAGAATAACAGCTTTTAATGTTGCAATAAAAACACGGCTCTTACATTTGCTTTAATTTGCTCATGTTGGCTGGGAACGAAAGCTTATTAGTCTTCATAGCTGAAATGCCATGGCCTGTTTCTTCCTTTGGCTGCCGAGCACTTTGAAATGCCAGTGGGTGGGGCGACGTCGCAAGCAAGCTCTTGGCTCTTGAAGTCTCCAAACTGCCCAAGGCGGCGAGCTTTGAAAGCATCTGCCAAAGTAATCATCGATTCATTGCTAACGATCAGCTATCCTCTCACTTCCTGCAGATGTATGACGGTCATTTTTGTACAACGGGGCCGAGAGAATATCATCACTTATTGCTCTTTCATTGCGAGCAGCAGTTATTCCGAGCTCGACACAACCGCAGGGAGTGCCAGCAGAAGATGTAGCGGCTGACATTGTTTCCCCAGTAGTCAAAGTATTGGACCTGTGCAGCTTGGCCCGGCTGTGGCTATTGTGTGTGTGTGTGTGTGCGCGCGTGTGTGTTGGATTCACTTTTTACACTTTATATTACAGACTCATTCAAATGGAATACATTTGGTTGATTGGACATGATTTGGAAAGGCACACACCTGTCTATACCGTATAAGGTCCCATACATGACAGAAAGAGCACTAACCAAGCACGACGTCAAAGGAATTTTCTCTCGACTTCCGAGACAGAATAGACTCTCTGTCAGAGCCCCGGCGGTCTTCTGTGGAGAGAGGAGAACCTTCCGGAAGAACAACCATCTCTGCAGGACTCCACCGATCAGGCCTCAGTGGTAGAGGTGGTAGAGTGGTCAGACGGAAGCCACTCCTGGAGTTTGAAATAGGCACCTGAAGGACTCTCAAATCATGTGAAAGAAAATTCTCGGGTCTGATGAGACAAAGTTTGAATTCTTTGGCACGTTAGGATGAAACCGGGCACAACTCATCACCTGACCAAAACCATCCTTACAGTTTAGCATGGTGTTGGTAGCATCACGCTGTGAGGTTGGTTTTCATCCGGAACTGGGCGACTCGTCAGGATTGAGGGAAAGATGAATGCAATAATTTACAAAGACGTCCCGAATGAGAACCTGCCCCAGAGTGCTCAGGACCTCAGACTGGGGCGAAGGTTTATCTTCCAACAGGACGACGACCCTAAGCACACAGCCAAACCTTTTGGTCATTCAGATGTCTTGTTTTGTTTATTTATAATACATTTGCTTAAATGTGTGGGTGTCTATCTATCTATCTATCTAGCTAGCTATGTGAGTGCTAATTACGTGCTGCTTATTCACAACACATTGTTTCACATGTGAAGCGGAGTCATGAAATATAATAAGCAGTTTATAATGG